TATCTTTTGATAGCTGGGCACCATCAGCTTTTTTCACATTTGCTTATGCACCAGCTTTGTCTTCCATGATCATGTTGGGAAGGTGAGCATCATGGAATACCAGATTAATAGAACAAAGAGTTCTTGCATTGAGGAAGTACTTGAGTATCAATGTCCATCTGCTACCTTAATACTAAGCCTATTAATATATTCACATAGATCTATTTCCCCATCATCACATATAAATATATTCACATATGTACATGCCTGTATTTAGACCTCTATATACAGGGTAGAACTTTTTCAACAGGGTTCTACACTGTAATCTTTATGGTAGCAAACTGCCAAGGTCTTTCTCCCAAGGTGGCCCTGATAGGTTTGAACTACCAACCTTGCAGGTAGCAGCCTAGTACTTAACTTTAGATTTATGAAAAGTTCTTTAAAGTGAAATATGAAAAGTGTTAAAAGGCTCTATATATCAAACCTATTAAGACAGTGAAAAATCAAGGCAGCTTTAAAATGTAAAAAAGATTATCAGTAAAAAGGGAAAATTGGTGTTTTTGCTGTTCAGTTTAAAAAGATGAGTTCCCTTAAAGTGTACATATATTCAAGGATTCTAAATATTCTCTACTTTAAATTCTAAATTTCCTAAAATCAGGGCATGGGAATCATATATTGAATTAAATAAATTGTGTGGATTTGTTCATATATACTTACAGCATATATTCCTAGTTTCATAAAGAATACTTATTTACATACACTGGAAGTATATCAGGTGCTATGGACTTGATTCCAACTCACCATGACCCCATGTGAGGAGAGCAGACCCACTCCCTAGCATATTAACAAGCCTGTCTTCCAAAGGGCCTTGGAGTAAGTTTGAACTGCCAACTTTTGACTGGTAGTTGAATTTGTAGTCTTGGCACCACTAAGGAACTCCAATTTACTTATACTCAAGCCCACTTTTAATATATGGGGTTATCTGCTTATTAAGTATGTCTATGTACTTAGGAGCCTGATGTCCCTTTGGACAGCTAAACACAAGGTCAGTAGTCTGAACTCACCAGACAGTCCACAGGAGAAAGCTGAAGCTGTCTTCTTCCTACACAGATTTAATGCCTCACAAATCCTAGGAGCAGTTTGACTCGGAGGCTGTAAGAGTCACAATTGACTCCATGACAGCTGGTTTGGGGTTTTACGTGTATGTATTTACATAAATTCAACCCTACTGCCAACTCACAGCAACCCTATGTAGGGTTTCCAAGACTATAAATCCTTAAAGAAGACAGCCTCATCTTTCTCCCATAGAGTGGCTGGTGGATTTCAACCGCCAACCTCGTGGTTAATAGTCCAAGACCTATCTCAGAGTGCCATCTGGGATCCATATTTATACAGATGCTCCAAAATGTTAAAAAGTAAACTTCCAGTATATTTTTAAATTTTGTCTTTTTAAGATTTTACTCACATTTTGGAAGTTAGCTTGAGGATGAACTATCACCATTATCAGAAAGGAAACTTATTTTCTAATAGATTAAATTTTGAAATCCACTATTATTTTTTTAAACACAAAAGCTTCCTCAGTATACTACTACCATAACTATTTCACATTAATATGTCCAATACATTAAGACTGAATGAAGCAAGATTCATGACTTATGGTTGCTAAAAATTAGTTGACACTTAACGACTATTAGTGCAAGAGAATTACTGCATTGTGCTAGCACTTACCTTTTTATCATAGAAAGTTTAGACAATATAATAAAGGGTTTTTTTGCGGGGGAAGGGAGACAGTCGATGTAAGCTATGAAAATAATATATAATTTATCAAGGGGTCACAAGGGTGGGAAGGGGGAAGAGTAAAAAGAAGAGCTGATACCAAAGGCTTACACAGAAAGTAAATGTTTAGAATATAATGATGGTAACATGTACAAATAAGTGTGATACAATTGATGTATGGATTGGTAGAAGAGCTGTCAGAGCCCCCAATAAAATGAACTTTAACAAAAAAGTACAAATTTAGAAGAAAATAAAGAAAACGTTTTTATTATTTTGGGTACAAAGCTCTGACATAACATTTAAATACAATATATGTATTGTATTTTTTCAATACATATTTATCAGCATCATCATTCTACATAACAAAGATTCGGCTTTTGAAATAATGATCACAGCACAAGAACAGTAACAGCAATTAAAACACATGCTACTCAACCAAAGAAATAGCCTACGAAATAAATTAGTGATTTTCAAAGATTGCCTTTCCAAGTTATAATGCTTTCTCAGGTACAGAGAAGGTAAATATTACATATATATTTATATTTACACCTGAGATTCGAAAATGAATTATTCTACTGAGCTATATGCACTAACTCATAGCCGTTGAGTCAATGTTGACTCACAGCAGCCCCTGTGGGTTTCCGAGCCCGTGACTGTTTACAAGCGTAGAAAGCCCAGTCTTTCTCTCAAGGAGCTGCTTGCTGATGGTTGCGAACAGCTGACCACGCAGATCGCAGTCCAAAGCATAACCACTACACTGCCAGGACTCCTGAGCTATACACACATAAAAAATTTTGGAAGCCACTGGGGTAGTTTATCATTGCTAATTACCAGTAAGGTAGTTACTTGGCACTGTATTTCTAATACGGAGCCACTAGTAACATGTGGCTATTTCCATTTAAAATAACTAAAATGAAATGAAATCTTCCATCCCTCAGTCACACTGGTCTCCTTTCAAGTGTTCAATAGTGGCTACCGTGTTGGACAGTGCAGAAATAGAGCACTTCTATCACTGCAGAAAGGTTTACTGAACAGTGCTAATTAAGAGTATTTTTTCAAGTTTTTGTTGACTTTTCTGTCTTCTCAATGTCAGTCTACGTTTCTGGAGCATCACTGCCTGTCCTATCAGTTCTTCTCGCTCTGAAAGTTTATCTTTCTAAGCAGAAACCATATCCATACAACGTGTTTCCCCTACAATAAATTAAGAACTGCGATGGATGGCTCTTCTGAAGTTCTCCAACATGTAAAACCCAGGGCTGCTAAGATGTACTACTTTGTTTCTTTGGATCCTTGCCTGTATTTCCAGTTTATCATCACTCACTGGCAGACACACAGGATGCTGCTGCTTAGTATTAGTGTGAATTATAGAGATAATTAATTTGAAATGCAGAGAAAACAGAACACACACCTTACAAAATCAAATGAGGAAATCTGCCTTTCCTTTTGGAACAAAACTCATGTAATAATCTGATTAGAGATTGAAGACATAAACCTTACAGCAGTGGTCTCAAGCTTCCTAATGCTGTGACCCTTTAATACAGTTCCTCATGTGGTGGTGACCCCCAACCATAAAATGATTTTTGTTGCTACTTCATAACTGTAATTTTTCCGACTGTTATGAATCATAAAGTAAATATATGATATGCAGGATGTATTTTCATTGTTACAAATTGAATATAATTAAAACAATTAAAGCATAGTGATTAATCACAAAACAATATGTAATTCTATACCGTGGAATATTTATGTTTTCTGATGGTCTTAGGTGACCCACGAAAAGGTCGTTCAACCCTCAAAGGGGTCGCGACCCACATGTTGAGAACCGCTGCCCTACAGGAAGGCTATGATAACATAAAAGAAGTGAATAAATAAATGTAAACAATCAAAAGGGAAATGTACCTCAAATGGGATTCCATGACTCTATCCATTCGCTTGTAAAAGGGTCTGGATGTGAAGTAGCCACTCCAGTAATGATCATCTCGGTCAGCATAGGTGAAGAAATCTCCACTTACAACAGGAAATACTGATTGGCTATTCTTTCTACTATTTGCATCTGCTTTATCTAGTGCATCAAAATAATCCGATAACGTTCCAAACTGAATCTACTTAGAAAAAAAAAAGCTACATGTCAAGAAGTTGTTAGTACTTTTCGTATCTACTTCTTGCACTGAAAGGAAAAGTTCATAATATTTAAGATATGATTTCAAGTTAAGATAAACATATAGCCCAGACAACATAAAAAGAAAGAAGACAAAATTCAGTGGCTTTCTTTCATTTGTTATCCAGTTCTGGACTAAGAACACTTACATATATTAGCAGGAATAAGGACAGTTACTCAAGGAGCCCTGGTGATGCTGCCAGATTAGAACTGGACAGTTAACCGCAAGATTTGCAGTGCAAACCCACCAGCTTTTTCATTAAGCTATACTCTCCCTCTCACAAAGATTTACAGCCACGGAAATCATATATAGGGTCACTGTAAGTTGCAATGGATCTGATGGCCGTGGGCTTGGTCTTTAAGGAGAGCTAGTTTAGAGCTCCACAGGCAGAAACTAAGCAACCATTCTAAGGATGGTGCAGGACCAGGTATTGTTTCATTCTGTTGTTCACGGGATCACTACGGGAAGGAACCAACTGGATGGCACCTAACAATAACAGATTAGATTAGATCTACAAATCTATGGGCTTGAAAACGTCTTACCTATCTCTAAACTCAGAAAATATTCAAGCATCTAAGTACTGTGGGCTTGAAAACGTCTTACCTATCTCTAAACTCAGAAAATATTCAAGCATCTAAGTACTGAGCAATCCAAATGAATGAAAAATGAGAGTAGGAGGGGGAAAAAAAGTATTTTGAGTAAAATGTACCAACAACAATATACAATATACATATTTTCACATATCTTACTGTATGCACGTCTTTCCCTCCCTTCCCCACTTTGAGTTCTTGTAAGGAAAATAGGAGAGACAACAGGGGCACTAAGTCATTAAAAAGCATGGACTTAATCAGCAAGTAACACGAGTAGAAGAAACAATACACAGTGACAATAATTTCAAGGTTGAATGCGCAAATAAAAGGCTCTTCCTAACTAATGACCGAAATGACTGGATCATAGGTTCATTTTTATGAGTACAAACTACTGCAACAAATCCAAAGAAAAAATATAACATTAGACCAGACTTTGTAAGCAAATATTAAAAGGCCTGAAGCAAACCAAAACCCATTGACACTGAGTCTATTCCAATTCATAGCAGCCTTATAGTCAGAGCAGCACTGCCCTGCAGGGTTTCCACAGGTGTGATCTTTACAGAAGCCAACTGCTACATCTTCCACTGGCAGGCTGGTTGGTGGGTCCAAAGAGCCCACCTTTCACTTGGCGGCTGAGAACTTACCCACTGTGCCACCAGGGCTCTGTTATTAAACGACAACATTGTCAAGAGTAAATACATACTGAAAATTGGGTTTCTTTTCATTGTGAAGTTGATTTTAGTTCTACTTTCTGCCTTGTGCACACAGACATATATGCACATAGATATTGAAAGCTATTTTGATTCAATGTAGCAGAAAAATAATTAAGGTCAGTAAAAAGAGTAACTTTCTAGCACAGTGATATGGAGAACAGAATCTGAATCCATTTTGTTTGCCCATTCACCTACTGATGGGCATTTCAGCTGTTTCCACCTTTGCTATTATAAATAGCACAAGCATAAGGAGTAAATGAAGTCAGGATATAAGCTACAAGATGGTCATACAACATTAGCCTTAAGTAAGCCAGTTACACAAGGTCAAATACACACACCACACACACTTTTTAAAGTTTTATTGGCACTACATCCACATCATACAATTCAATAGTCCAATCATATCAAGAGTTGTACAATCATTACCACAATTGATTTTAGAACACTCTTTTTCCTTGTACACATTATTAGTTTAATTATTACTATGTTTTTAATTGTGGCAAAAATATATACAACAAAGCATTCTCCAATTCAAGTTTCTACATGTATAATTCAGTGCCACTGATTATATGCTCCATGTTGTGCAAACATTATTGACATCTTTTTCCAAATTATTCCACCACCATTCACATAAACTCAATGTCCCCTAAACAAAAACTTTTCCTCCTTCACTGACTGGTAACCATTAGTCAACTTTGGTGGGTTTTTAAGGTAGTTTTCTGGGTATAAAATTCACATTTCATACCCTTCCATAAAGTTGCTTTTAAAGAGTTGTCTATACATCATCACGGTCAGTTTTAGTGACCTCCCTCTCCCTTCCCGCATTCATTCTTTGCTCAATTGCCCCTCGCGCTCCCCAGCCCCAATAAACCAGTGCATCAGCTATTTCTCTGTGCATCCACTCCTGTGCTTCTCAAACTGGGAAACCCAACAGAAACAATTCTAAAAAATGAAACAGGAAGGGAGACGTCAGACAGGGCAAGATATGACAAAAAATGATTTATAAATCATCAAGAGTTCATAAGGGAAGGGGAAGTGGAGAGGGAGGGGAAAAAATGAGGAGCTGATTCCAGGGGCTTAGGTGGAGAGCAAATGTTTTGAGGATGATGAGGGCAATGAATGTGCAAATGTGATATAAAACAAATAATTCACCATGACCAAGTGGGATTCATACCAGGGATGCAGGGATGGTTCAACATACGAAAGACCATTAGAATTATTCGTCACACTGACATGAAAAACTATAAGAACCACATGATAATATCAATAGATGC